ATATATATATAGTAGTTGTCAAGATCGTCCGAAAGGGAATTTATATGTAAATGATGATTCTTGTTTTCATATATCGTTTATACATCGCCGTCCCATGGCTGTGCAACGTACTTGAACGAGTTTCTATCCCCAATAAGTAGTTTTAAATGCGTGTCTATATTTGTGTGTACTACAATTAGGGCCCCATGGGTTATAAAAGCGTTTCCAAAACCGTTTTTGATCATAGCCCTCTAAAATATACAAAAATTTGTATGATTCAGAAGAAGGCTATGAAAAATTGAAACGATTTTATTCTAAAATTATATTTCATAGGTCTATTTTCATATCGGTCAAAAAAAAATTGAAATATTGGGTGAGATATTAAAATACCCAATATCAGAACTCAAATACAGAACGTTAGTTTTTAGGGTGGGCTATGCCGCTGACTATTCGACTCCTTTATTATTAGTTAATAATATCAAATACCCCATGGAGCTCTCATATTTATGAATATGATTATGAGGTCGCAGGCGAGAGCCTCAGAGTAGTGGTCGCAGGCGAGAGTCTCAGTCTTAGTTGTCGCAGGCGAGAATCGCAGTAGTAGTGGTCGCAGTCTTAACAATTCTCCATATTTATGAGTTCCCAAATCCTGTTGTCTGATGCGTCCCTGAATCGCTGAGCCCGCCAGAGTACATAATCATCAGTTATTGTCCATAATTAGATTATTACTCTCAGCTTTTTTTTTTCACGAGAAAGCTGGATGACAACGCTAAATATGTAAATAGTCCCTTTTTGTTTTTTCTTAAAAAACAAACAATTGAAATTCAGACAAGGAAAGCATATTTCGAGGGTCTCAGGCTCTCAGAATCAGCCCTCAGGCCCTCAGCCCTCAGGGGCAGGGCGGCTCAGGCTTCAGGAGTTCAGTCTCATTTGAAAAAAAAAATTATTGTTTTTTTAAATACCGATGGATTTTAAAAATAAGGCTTTGGAAAAATCCTTGACGTTAGCAACCGTATCGAGGGAATACAAAAGCTGAATCGACCCCATTTCACTACATATTTACCCTGTTCCCACTTCCCACCAGCCTACCAGGCCATAACCGTTTCCCGTTTGTTATGCAACTTTATCAGAGTTCTCACAACGCACTTATTGTGGGAGTAAAAATGACACGTACAAGAGCAAGCCTGTCGTTATTTAGCAAGCACTTTATTTCAGTAGTGGATTATAAATGAATTTTAAAATTGAGAAACCATGATGCACAGGTGATATATATGCCGGTCTGGTATAATTAGTTGATAGATTAGTAGTTTACACCAATCTAGAAGTATGATGGGGGGGGCCAAGAGGGTCAGAGTGGCTCGCTCACGCTGGTATATCTACCCTATATTATGTATGCTACTGATTTCGTTTCTGAGCATCTACACCGCTTCTGACATGCCTGATGCTTCTTATCGACAACTGAGTACGGCGTACCAAAGAAAAGCATCTAACTTGAATAGCAATCTCGATGAATCTCAAAGTTATGCTGATGGTTTGAAGCGAGACGATCCAAGTCGTAATCCAGCGTTATCTGTTGAGAAACCGGAGAATGCCGGCCCCGCGCCGGCCAAACCAATACAGATTAGTACGGATGCTGATAGCATAGAAAAAAAGAATTTGCAGAAGAATCTGCCAGCACCGCCCCTCGCACCTATGAATATCGATATCAATGCGGAGGATTTTCCAGCGACAAAGGTATTAAACCCTTTGCCATCGATTTCTGGTAGTCATCGTTTACCCGGAATATTTCTGTATTCCAAGTGATTATCAGACAATTATATCTCAGCAATTTTGCGGATCTGACTGCGGATCTGATTGGTTGAACCTTATACCATCAAATAAGCATACTACACAGAAATTATATGTATACATATATATATATATATATATATATATATATGTGTGTGTGTGTGTTATGTGTATGTGTATGTATGTATGTATGTATATATGTATTTGTATATGTATATGTATATGTATTTTCATATGTATAAGTATACATATATATATATATATGTGTGTGTGTGCGTGTGTGTGGGTGTGTATGTGTGTAGATATATATATGTATATATATATATACTACGCATAGTGCTATATATATATATATATATACATATGTGTGTGTGTGTATACATATACATATATATGTATGTATGTATGTATGTATGTATGTACGTATATAAATATATATATATATATAGGTATGTTTGTTTGTGTATACTTGTGTTTGTTTGTTTGTGTGTCCTTGTTTATATATATATATTTATATATGTATCTATGTATATGTATGTTTGTATATATATATATATATATATATAGGCATATGTCTATGCATGTATGTGGGTACTGTGTGTTTTTTTTGTTCGTGTGTGTTCTTATACATATATATATATATGGTTGCATCCATAGGAACGTATAAATAGGTCCGTACAGATATG